GATCTATGCACCCAAAATAGGAGCACCTAAATATATAAATCATATATCAATGGTCTTAAAGGGAGAAATTAACAGTAAAACAGTAAGAGTAGGGGATTTTAATATCTCACTTACATCAATGGATAGGTCATCCACACAGAAAATCAATAAGGAAACATCAGCTTTAAATGACACATTAGTCCAATAGACTTAATAGATATATACAGAACATTCCAGCCAAAAACAGCAGAATACACATTCTTCTCAAGTGCACTGAAGTTCATGTGGAACATTCTTCAAGACAGACAATATGTTAGGCCACAAAACAAGTCTCATAAATTTAAAATGAAAATCATATCAAGCATCTTTTCTCACTACAATGGTTTGAAACTAGAAATCAATTATTAAGAAAACTGGAAAGATCACAAATATGTGGAGATTAAACAACATTCTACTGAACAACCAATGGGTCAATGAACAAATCAAAAGAGAAATGAAAAAATTATCTTGAGACAAGTGAAAATGGAAAATTAACATGCCAAAACTTATGGGATGCACAAAAGCAGTTCTAAGAGGGAAGTTTATAGTGATACAGGCCTACCTCAAGGAACAAGAAAAATCTCAAGTAAACAATCTAACTTTATACCTAAAGGAAATTAAAAAAAGAACAAATTAAGCCCAAAGTCAGTAAAAGGAAGGAAATAATAAAAATCAGAGCAGAAACAAATAAAATACAAACTAAAATGACAATAGAAAAGATCAAGGAAACTAGGATCTGGTTCTTTGAAAAGATAAACAAAATTGACAAACCTTTAAGCAGACAAGAGGAAAAGACAAAGAGCTCAAACAAAAAAGATCAGAAATGAAGGAGGAGAAATTACAACTGATACAAAGAAATACAAAGTATCATAAAAAACTACTTAAACAATTATACAGCAACTAATCAGGCAACCTAAAAGAAATGGATAACTTCTGGAAACACACAGTCTTCCAAGACTGAATTGAATCAGTTATCAAAAAACTTCCAACAAAAAATGTCCAGGACAGAAGTCTTCACTAATGAATTCTACCAAACATTCAAAGAAGATTAATACCAATCCTTTTCAAACTCTTCCAAAAAACTGAAGAGAAGTGAATGCTCCCAAACTCATTTTACAAGGCTAGCATTACCTTGATACCAAAATCAGACAAGGAAACCACAAAAAAAGAAAATTACGGACTAACATCCCTCATGAATATAGATGAAAAGTCCTCAACAAAATATTAGTAAACTGAATTCAACAATACGTTAGCAGGATCATACACCATGATCAAGTGGGATTTATTCCAGGAATGCAAAGATGATTCAACATCCACAAGTCAATGTGATACACTAGGTTAACAAAATAAAGGATAAAAATCATCTGATCATCACAATAAATGCAAAAGTCTTTGACAAAATTCAACAACCATTCATAATAAAAACCCTCAACAAAGTGGGTATAGAGAGAGTGTACCTCAACATAATAAAGGCCATATATGACAAGCCCACAGCTAACATCATAGTCAACAGCAATAAGCTGAAAGCTTTTTGTTTAAGATCAGGAACACAACAAGAATACCGCCTATTGCCAGTTTTATTCAACACAGTATGGGAATTCCTAGCTAGGGCAATTCATTAGGAAAAAGAAATAAAAGACATCCAAATTGGAAAGGAAGAAGTAGAACTGTCACTATTTGCAGAAAACATGATTTTATATAAAGAAAACCCTATGACTCCAAAAAAAATACTGTTAGAATAAATGAATACAGTAAAACTACAGAGTACAATATCAATATACAAACATCTGTTGCATTTTTATACACTAACAACAAAGTATAAGAAAGAGAAATTAAGAAAACAATCCCATTTACAATTGCATCAAAAAGAATACAATATCTAGGAATAAATTTAACCAAGGAGGTGAAAGATCTGTATGCTGAAAACTATAAGACATTGATGAAAGAAGCTGAAGAAGACACAAATAAATAGAAATATATTCCATGCTCACAAATTGGAAGAATTAATGTGATTAAAATGTCCGTATTACCCAAAGCAATATACATATTCAATGCAATCCCTATCAAAATTTCAATGGCATTTTTCACAGACATAGAACAATAAATCCTAAAATTTGTATGGAACCACAAGAGATTCCAAATAACCAAAGCAATCTTGAGAAAGAAGAACAAAGTTGGAGACATTACACGCCCTGATTTCAAACTATATTACAAAGCTATATTAATCAAAACAGTGTGGTATTAGCACAAAAACAAACACATAGATCAATGGAACAAAACAGAGAGCTCAGAAATAAACCCACACATATATGACCAATTAATCTATGAAAAAGGAGGCAAGAATATACAATGGGAAAGACAGTCTCTTCAATAAATTGTATTGGGAAATCTGGACAGCCACATGTAGAAGAATGAAACTGACCAACTATTTTACACCATACAGAAAAATTAACTCAAAGTGGATTAAAGGCTTGAATGTAAGACCAGAAACCATAAAACTCCTAGAAGAAAACATAGGCAGATATTTCCTTGACATCAGTCTAGCAATATATATATATATTTGGCTCTGACTCCAAAGGCAATGGCAACCAAAGCAAAACTATACAAACGAGACTATATCAAACAAAAAAGCTTCTGCACAATGAAGAAGCCATCAACAAAATAAAAATGCAGCCTACTGAATGGGAGAAGATATTTGCAAATCATATCCAATAAGGGATTAATATTCAAAATATATAAAGAACACACACAACTCAATAACAACAACAACCACAAAAAAACCTGACCTTAAAAATGGTCAGAAGGGGCTTCACTGGTGGCACAGTGGTTAAGAATCCCCCTGCCAATGCAGGGGACACAGGTTCGAGCCCTGGTCTGAGAAGATCCCACATGCCACGGAGCAACTAAGCCCATGCACCACAGCTACTGAGCCTGCACTCTAGAGCCCGTGAGCCACAACTACTGAGCCCACATGCCACAACTACTGAGCCCACATGCCACGACTACTGAAGCCCATGCACCTAGAGCCCGTGCTACGCAACAAGAGAAGCCACTGCTATGAGAAGCCCATAGCCCCCACTCGCCACAACTAGAGAAAGCCCATGTGCAGCAATGAAGACCCAACGCAGCCAAAAATAAATAAATTAATTAATTTAAAAAAATACTTTTTTAATGGTCAGAAGATCTGAATAGACATTTTTCCCAAAAAGACATACAGATAGCCAACATGTACATAAAAAAGATGCTCAACATCACTAACCATCAGAGAAATGCAAATCAAAACCACAACGACTTATCATCTCACATCTGTCAGAATGGCTATTATCAAAAGAACAAGAAATGACAAGTGTTGGTGAAGATGTGGGATAAAGGGAACTCTTGTGCACTGTTGATGGAAATGTAAATTTGTGCAGACACTGTGGAAAACAGTATGGAATCTCCTCAAAAAGTTAAAAATAGAACGACCATATGATCCAGCAATTCTTCTTCTGCTTATTTATCTGAAGAAAACAAAAAACACTAATTCAAAAAGATATATTCACCCCTGTGTTCATTGCAGGATTATTCGCAATAGCCAAAATATGGAAACAACATAAGTGTCCATCAATGGATGAATGGATAAAGAAGATATGGTATATATAATGGACTACCATTCATAAAAATAATGAAATCTTGCAACGTGAATACACCTTGAGAGCGTTATGCTAAGTGAAACAAATCAGACAGAGAGATAAATACTACATGATTTCACTTATATGTGGAATCTAAAAAAAAAACAAATGAACAAACAAAATAAAATAAAGCTCATAGAAAACAGATTAGTGGTCAACAGAGGGGAGGCGGAGGGGGTGGGCAAAATGAGTAAAGGGGATCAAGAGGTACAAACTTCAAGTTATAAAATAAATAAGTTATGGGATGTACAGTACAGCATGTAGACTATAGTCAATAATATTGTATTGCAAATTTGAAAGTTACTAATAAGTTGTCTTAGAAGTTCTCATCACAATAAAAAAAAGATTTTTGTAACTGTACAGTGACAGATGGTAACTAGATTTATTGTGGTGATCATTTCACAATGTATACAAATTTTCCATAATAAAAAGTAAAACAAAACAAAAAATAGCCATCAACTAGCATTTATTTTGTGTTAGCTTAATTTGGATTAAGTGTTTTCTACTGGGTATTAATTTCCTACTTCCTCTGTATATGTTTGGCCTCAGCAAACTATGCTAGAAAAAATTTGAGTCATTTCTCAACCTCTAAGTATAGACGTATGAACACCCCCATATATACCAATTGACAACTGTGACCCAACCACCTTCCTTGGAGCACCAACCATAAAACTGTCCTCAGGAAACCAAGGGACTTCTGAACTCTAGAGGAGAATTTCTTAATCATTTCTGTGGCATGGACCCTCATGGACAATCAGGTGAAGTCTGTGGACCCCTTCTCAGAATCACGCTTTTATATGCATAAAATTAAATACTTAGAATGAGAAAGGAATCCCTTTGTAATTAAAGGGTTATCAAAAAATTTTTAACAAATTTTGATAAGGTATATATGTGCATCTTTATTAACACATTAACAACAAGATGTCCTGTTGGGACTAATAACTTCCATATATTTCAAAGTAGAAATGAGTTTAAACCATATTTCAAGATCTCTGCAACAATTACAATACAGTAAGAAATATGTATGTCTATTAATGATAGTCACAGGTACTGTGAATAATACTGTGGTTTGTTTCCTACACCATAATGGAAGGAACTGTTAAATTTCAGTTAGAAGTTGGTGAAAATAATTGTGTAATTTTTTCCCCATCCAAGTTCACAGATTTCCCAGATTTAGAACTCCTGCTCCATAAACAAAGGTCTGGAAGGATATACACCATACTGGAGTGGGGTTGGGTGGGGTGGCACAAAGGAGAAGAGCCAAAAGAATTTTTAACATTTTCAAATCCTATATTATTTGATGTTTTACAGGAAGATTGTATTCATGTATTACTTGTGCAAAAAGCATAGTATAGTCCAGACTCCAGATCAAAAGCTGCTATTGCTCAGAGAGAAAGAGAGCCATCAGATGCCAGAGCCCTTCAGCCTCCTCCCGCCTAGCCCCCACTCCCAGGTAGAAACACCATTTTTTATCATTGCCTCACCTTTAGCACTTTGACAATGAAGTCACAATCTGCAGTCTCTCACTCACAGGATCCCATTGGTTGTAAGACAGAGATAGAACCAGCCCCTAGTTAAAGGACAGGATTAGGTGTGTTTCTGGCATCCTATATTTATTCTGATAATATATGTATATTTCCACCAAAATACTGGAACAATAATTCAGTTCAACAACGGACCACACATCCACCCTTTATAACATTGTTTAATGAGAAAATGCTTTCTAGATTCCGAATATCTAATGGTTTGCGAAAGAACATTTGAACTTGTACATTTATAAACTGAAGATTCCTGGCATTTATTAAATGTCCAGAGTGTTCGTCAGCATGCTGGATTTCTGAAATTGGAGGTAGAACAAGGCAATAAGTGGTAAAAGATTCCTTTTGTGTAAAAGGAACAATCACTACCTTTTAACAGATGACTCTTTGCTTTCATTAGGAATAAAGATGGCTGCTGAACCAGTAGAAGACAATTGCATCAGCTTTGTGGAAATGAAATTTATTAACAATACACTTTACTTTGTAGGTAAGTTCAAAACCGTAGGCCAAATACAGGGTTTAGATAAATGTATTCAACTAGAAAAGATGTTGTGAGGTGAACTATTAAGTGACTTGTTTTTTGTCACCAAATTCCATTGTAACACTAATGACACACTTCTCTTGAAAAAAAAAAATACTGGATCTCTAGAAATTAACCATAACATATCCAAGGTCGCAGCACCTTGTCCTGCCACATGTCCTGGCACTTAGTTAGTAGTAGCCTACTCACAAGGTGGCTGCAGGTGCACGTCATGAAAATCCCAGAAAATTGGATATACGATTTCCCAAAGCAACCTGGCAAATTATGTAAGAGATACATATCTGAAATCTAGAGTTCTGTGAGTTATACCATTTTATGTAAATACACTTGACAAATAAAAACAGATTCTTATTATTAAACTTCCTTGGGCAGTTTAGTTTCATTTGAAAGCTTCATAGAAAGTTCTTAGGTGACTTTCCATTGAAGCAATACATTTAAGAGTAAAATCTATCATTTTATAAAATTTCTTTTTGGCTACAAATTTCAATTTATAAACCCTAGATTTAGGTTTTATATCTAACATACCTGAGATCACACTAAGTCTAATTAGCTTCATTATATGGGACCTTTTGGATGATTATATTATATTTTTATGGGGCCAACAAAAGCCATCACCAGTAAGACAGGGGTTAAAGAATGCAGAGGGGCAGAAAAGAGTAATAAAAGAGAAGGGTGAGAGGAAATTGAGTAGAAATATAGAATTTAACATATTTTGTTTCTCTTTTTTCCCCTTTAGCTGAAAATGATGGTAAAGTATAAATTTATTTCTCTTTCTTTGTAAAAATAAATAGCTACTTGAGTAAGCGTCCCACCAGCACATCCATATCACCATTCTCAGCTGAAAAACTGGTACCAATCTATTTAAGAAGCTAATATTCCCTCAAAGGAATGTGGACTCAGTAGCACTGCCTTGGAATAGAGATGACTCTAAGGGAATTTCTAATAAAATACGCTTCTCTACATCTTAGGAAATTCTCAGCTATTAGAATCTACAAAATAGACCTTGCCTGTTACATAGATCCTGAGATTAGCAGAAAGTCATGGATTCTCTGGAGTACATAGGAAAAGGGGTTGAAGCATGAGAATTGTTGTCCAAAATCAGGAACATCTTCCTTCTTCAACCTTCCCTCTCAGAAGTGCTCTGAAAAGAAGCCTGGGAGGCTCCCAGGGTTCAGAGAATTCTGGAAGTAGAGGAGATGGGGGAAAGTAGAGCAAACAGACCTATTAGGTTGAGTCATTGTCTTCCTAAGTAGAGGTACCCATTCCTTGTCCTGTTGGCATTCAGGGAGGATCATACGTGTATAAAGCCTATGATCCTCTAACGCAGGGGTCCCCAACCCCTGGGCCGTGGACCAGTACCAGTACCGGTCCGCGGCCTGTTAGGAACCCAGCCACACAGCAGGAGGTGAGCAGAGGGTGAGGGAGCGAAGCATCACCTGCTGCTCTCCATCACTCGTATTACCGCCCGAACCATCCTGCCACCCAAACCACGGCCCCGGTCCATGGAAAAACTGTCTTCTAGAAACCGGTCCCTGGTGCGAAAAAGGTTGGGGACCGCTGCTCTCACGGACCCCCAGATTATTAAGGTCATTAGTTTTTCATACTTTTCCTTAAAAAGCACTTTCTCCATTCTTAAGATGATCCTTACTGGACTGGAAATATACAACAGGAACTTTTGAAAAATACTATTCCTTCCAGTTTCTTTTCCAGATTTATTGAAATGTTATTGTCATATAGCTCCTCACGTTTCTTAAAGATTGCCCTACTCCCATTTATTTGATTCAATAAATATTGGCATCTGTATCTCTGGCACTATGTTAGGCCCTACAATACAATTGTGAGCAAAACACAGTTCCTATAGGGGGAAGCAGGCACATTAGGGAGGCAAATGGAATGTGGTATGTTAAGTGTTATGAAGGCACAGATGCTATGGGAGCACATAGAAGGGCACCTAATTTAGTCCAGTAGATTCTGGGAGGGCATTTTGAAAGAGGAACAGAATTGAAGAGTAAATAGGGGTTAGCCAAGAGAAGGTATTCTATGCAGAGAGAAGAACACATGCAAAGATCAAGATATGAAAGAAAGCATGGTGTGAGGAATTAAGAGTAATTCAGAATAGGAGTAGAGTAAGAGTAGGAAAATGATGAGAGAAGAATGATAAATAGGGTGCAGATTGAGAAGGTTCTGTTATTCCAAGATATGGAATTTGGACCTTATCTTTGGGGGCAATGGTGATTCATTAAGCACAATATGTATGATCTAGGATACAGATTAGTTTGCTGTAACAAAGAGATCCAAAAATACAGTAACTGAATAAGATAGAAAATATTTCTCTCAAATACGAATCCAAGTAGGCAGTTCAGTATTAGTATGGCTGGATGCAGCCTGATGATGTTGGAATCTAAAGTTTCTTCTGTCTTCTTCCATTCCATCATCCCTAGTTGTTGAACTCATTTACATACTTGAAAATCATCATTACACTTCCTGGGTCCACATCCCAGCTAGCAAGAAGGTGTTCAAAATAAGAGGAAGACAGGCCCACTCCTTTTAAAAGCTCTATTTAGAAGTTGTAAACATCAAATCCACTCATACTCCATTGACTAGAATTTAGTCATATGGCACCAACTGCAAGGAAAATATGGAAAATATCATCTTTATTCTGGGTGGCAGTGTCATTCATTAAAATTCAAAGGTAACATGATTGTATCTCTGAATTTTAACTTTAATTAAAATTGAATTGTAATTCCTTCTGGCTTCAGTATAGAGAATTGCTGTGGGGGCAAAAAAAGAGGGGAGGGGAATGCCAATTAAGAAGCTATTATTGTAGTCCCTGTAAGAAATGATGTCGGCATGAATTAAGGTAGGCACAGTGGGGTGCCATTGAAGAGCTGTGAATGGATTTTAGAAAAATGTGGAAGAATCAACAGGACATGGATTTGGAAGGGGATGGAAAGAAAGACAGAAAAGATGATGCCTATGTTTTTTCACGTAGGCAATTTGTACCATTAAGTGAAATAAGAAACGCAAGAGGAAGAGCAGGGTAGAGAGGTTTGCAGGGCAAAGAGGAAGATAGATGATGAAGTTACTGATGATGAATGACGACGTCTGTGGAGCATCCTAATGGAGATGTCCAATAGATTCTTGGACGTGTGGTTCTAAACTCAGGAGAAAATATGGGGCTGAATATACGGATGTAGGAGACATACATACAATAGAAATTACATCTGAAGCTATAAGAATAACATGACAAATCATAGGAAATGTGTAGCATGAGGAAGTAAAAGCCAAGGACTACACTCTGAGGAATACCTATATTTAAAGGATTCAGTAGAAAGAGAAGCTAATAAAGAACAGAGCAACCAAAGAGGAAGAAGAAAAACAGAGAATGCCACAGAATCCCAGGAGAGCATTTCAAGACAGAGATAATAGGCACTCTGTTGAATTTTGTAGCCTTGAAAACCAAGAGCCAGAAAGTATCTATTACATTTAGCAACAGGGAGTTTGGTGATCTCAGTGAAAGCAATTTGATGGAGAAATGGAGCCAGTGAGGAGAAGCTTGCAGCGAGTAGAAGAGTGAATAGAAAGTAAGGAAATGATACATACAATTCTTGCCAGAAGCTTGGCTGTTAAAAGGAGGAGAGAAACAATACTAGCTACAAAGTGGGATTCTGTTGATGGAGGTGTTTTAAATCTCAAAATGTAAAGCCTTATGTTTTTCTGATTATAAAAATAATTTGTTTATTATAAATAATTCAGGCAATGAAGATAAGAAAATGAGAAACTAAAATACGAAAAAAACCCAAAATATTCATTTCTATCATTTTGATGTTATATATATATATAAAATACTATACCTAAGCTTCTTTTTCTAGTTTAATACACATGCACATCTTTCCATGGCAATGAATAATTACAATTATATTAAATTCATGATAATTCATAGTAAGGGCATATCAAAATTTATTTGATCAATTCCCAATTGATGGACATTTAAGTTATTTCCAGTTTGTTTTTATTATTAAAGTGTTCCCATAAGCATTCTTGTAGAGAAATATTTACACATTTCTCTAATGTTTCCTTAGGATAAAATCCAGGAAGTAGAATTGCTGAGTTGATGGAAGAGAGGGAATAATTGATAAATCAAGGTTTAATTGAAAGTACATGCAGAGCACAAATGGGGTTAACCTTAGGTAGCAGAAGATCCACCTTTTTCACATGTCCCTTGGGACAAGAGGGTAGAGAAAATAACAGGTGATGCCATAGTTAAGTTTGTAAGTGGAGTAGCAGGAAATCATTTGCTGAAAGTGAAAGCAGAGGTGATGATGCAGAGATCCTGAGGAGAATGAAGAAGGCTTGAAATTGAAGCTATGGACTATGGAAGAGAATGCGGAACTGGAAAAGAAGTATTGACAATTGATGTGTTTGTTATGGCGCCAACTTGCACATTTGTATGATTGCTTGTCTATTTGTAAATTTAGAAAAAAGGATTATTTTTTAAATGAGATTTCATGTGTGTTGTAGAAGACCTGGAGTCAGATTACTTTGGCAAGCTTGAACCTAAGTTCTCAGTCATACGAAATTTGAACGACCAAGTTCTCTTCATTAACCAGGAAACTCAACCCATCTTTGAGGATATGCCTGATTCTGACTGTTCAGGTATTTTTTTATATACATTTGTAAACATGGAAATGACAAGCTACTTCTTCCCATTCCATTTAACTGACTGCATTTTCTGTGATAGACCTAATGCTTACATGAAAAGTCATGGTAGTAGTAATTTCACTTATAAGAAACTTTATAGGGTATCCATAATTTTTAGTTGGGCTGAAAAATTGATATAATAAAGATAGTGCTGGGGTCATGATCTTTGAGCCTACATTTGGATCACCATCCCTTCACTGTAGTTGCATTAACTGTATATGCTCTCCATTGAGTTGGATCCTTAATACCTGCTGGTTATAGCTGAAATTGCTGATAACATTTTCAGAAGTCAAAATTAAATATAAATATACAAGCACTTCTAATAAGTCTGTCTTCCACCAGAAATTTAGAGTGCCTTAGCAAATGAATAACTTTATTGTGCCTTTCAAGGAATGAATTTCAAATAACAGAGTTGAGGCAGAGTTGAAAAAGTGAATGATGCACTCTTGAAAAATGCTGAAGTTTTACCTTAACAGATAGAGCTTTAATATTCTATTTAGCGTTTAAAAGCTAAAGACAATCTTTTAGAATTCAGAATATCTCTAAAACACTTTAAAAGTTGCTGCATTTGTATTATAATACATATTTAAATGTGTTTTAAAGAATATGTATGTCACTGTATATAGTCTCCTGCTACATGGCTGAATCTCAGAGTGTGGGATTGGTAATGGTCCTATTAAAGATTATCCTTTGGCTAATTTCCCTAAATGCTTATTTGGAAAAATTCTTCTAACTAGTGTTCTCATTTGTGAATGTTTATTTTAGATAATGCACCCCAGACCATATTTATCATATGTATGTATAAAGACAGCCTCACTAGAGGTCTGGCAGTAACCATCTCTGTGCACTATAAGAAAATTTGTACCCTCTCCTGTAAGAACAAAATTCTTTCCTTTAAGGTAAGACTGAGACTTAATTTGTTTTAGTTATATTGATGTGCAAAATTAGAAAACCAAAATATCCCCAGTCCAACCTTTTGTCTAGAATAAGAATAGCAAGAAGTAGAGAACCATTAAAATAGACAGTTACTAAAAACTGTCAAGCTCTTTAACCTACTGTAGTAACATCATGGTTTTTCTGAGCCTGCCGTAGGGAGGAAGGGTATCAACACTTGTTTCATAACCTAGGTCTTCTGAACAATCAATCTATAGATAAATAATAATACAGAATATATATATAAATTACCATGTTTAAGAACTGCATGTGACTTTCCAGAATAAGTCCTGCTACACAGAATGAAGTTAATCGTTCTTCTGTAAACCCTCTACTTTGTAAATTATGATGATAATATTTTAATCCCTAATATTTTGTTTTTTGTTTTTTTTGTGTGTGGTATGCGGGCCTCTCACTGCTGTTGCCTCTCCCGTTGCGGAGTACAGGCCCTGCGGCCATGGCTCACGGGCCTAGCCGCTCCGCAGCATGTGGGACCTTCCCGGACTGGGACACGAACCCGTGTCCCCTGCATCGGCAGGCGGACTCTCAACCACTGCGCCACCAGGGAAGCCCAATCCCTAATTGCTTTGTTCCTACTTCTTAGCCTAAGTCTATGTTAGGCTACAACTTTCAGCTTTCAGTTGATGTATGTTATTTTTAATGTTAATCTAAGTGAACAAAATTAATAGGATCTGTTGTAAAAGCAATGGTATAATGTATCTCAAAGCCAGGTGTAAATTATTTCTGACCACTGCTTGTTTCTCTATCCTCCATCATTATTTTTCTCTATTTTTTCCATTATTATTAGATAAACAACCATTAACTATAGATATGGGTTGACCCAGAAAACTTTCCTCCCAATGAAAGCAGGCAGGGTATGCTCACAAATTGGCAGTGTTTCAAAGGTGAATCCCGTGTCTTGAAGACTTTCTGAGTGGGGATTTGCCAATAAAGAACCGCAATAAAGATCATCCAGTTCCCACTGAAAGTTAGAGTATGACTTTCATAGACATGCCAAGGGTCAACTTGGGAGGGAGGAAAAAGCCACTCTAAAATGTAATGCAGATAGGATTAGTGTATCTGTAACAAATAGAGCCTCCAAACAAATCCCTTAGCCATCCCCTTCCAAACAGAGTACCACCTCTTCAGGTGACAATTTGGAGTCCCTGCTCCCTGACCTGACAGGTAGGAAGCTCAGTTATTGTAATGGCGCTAGAAGCCTGGAGCTGGACAGACAAGGTGGAGAGGATTAAGCATGTTGTTTCTTAGCAACAAAATCAGAAGGGAAAGAGGGAGATGGCCAAGCTGAAGCCATGTGGGATAGAGGAAAACTAATTCAGCTGCAGAGACAGAGTCAGAAACTGGGAAAAGCCTGATCTATATATAAGTAGATTCTTATTGATAGACTGGGGAGAGTGTCAAGAAGATGGAAAAAGTGCTTGGCAAATAATAGAATGGGACAACTAATTAATCCTCTCATTAATTCAAGACTCACACTTATTGATAAAGGACAAAGGTCAAGAGTTATGGCTATAAATTCCATAATTGATTGAGAAGTTTGGGGAAAAAACCAGGTTCTTTCAGGCATCTAAGGAGGATGCTGGGATGCTATTTTGGGTCTGAAGGTCTCTCTCTCAGTCCTTAGGATCATGAAGATCTTTGCTTTCAGAGGGTCAAAATTAAGTTCAAATTTTCTGCTGGTTCTGGGATTAACATGGAAAGAACCTGAGGTAGTCCTCACATTTCTAGTCCATCCTGAAAGTAGGCATGATGCAAAAATAGGAAAAGTGCAGGCAGTACTGTCAGTTAGGTGACCAGCCGGATTATAGTTTCAAGTGATCTGCCCATTCTTAGGAAATCCCTACTCCGCAGCTGAGATATAGGAATCACCATCTGGCCTCCTAGGACAAGGTCCAGCCAAGAGACAGACTACTTTCAGGATAGAAACTCAGGACTACTATGGAACTGGAATGCTTGGCAGGGAAGCACCAAAAGCTGCTAACTAAGCCCTAGAACAAGTAATGGGTCTATTTATAGCCAGTTTCGGTTCTAGGCTCCACTGAAGGAAGCAGCTGAGATGACTGCCACTTCCTGCCTCTCTCACTGTTGTTTCACAAACTGGAGCTACCCTAGGCCTATGGGTGGAGGTCATCAATGTCTTTAGCTGTGAATGGCTGGAGAAGACAGGAACTGATATTAGCCTAAAATGATTGTGGTCTTTGCTGGAACTCTACTTCATCTTAAGCAAATATGAACTCCACTTAATGGGAGAGGAGAGAAGGAAATCATCTGATGGGTATATTGGGAAAAACTAGAGGCCTGGACCTGAATGTGCATTCCATAGTGTTATAAGCCAAAGTGGACAAGAAGAATGGGAGGTTAGAAATTAAGAGGGAAAGGAGATCAGTATTCCTATAATCAGAGATTTTTTTTCTTAACTCTTGAGAATATAAACCTCTTTAGTTCTGTGTAGTAATATATTTCAAAATAAACTGCACATATTCATATTGGCCATGACCTAAAAAAATTAAGTAATTTTTTTTCCTCTATAGGAAATGAGTCCTCCTGATAATATTGATGATGAAGGAAGTGACATCATATTCTTTCAGAGAAGTGTTCCAGGACATGATGATAAGATACAGTTTGAGTCTTCATTGTACAAAGGATACTTTCTAGCCTGTAAAAAAGAGAACGACCTTTTCAAACTCATTTTGAAAAAAAAGGATGAAAATGGAGATAAATCTGTAATGTTCACTGTTCAAAACAAGAAGTAGATATTAAAATTGCATAATTTGAACTTTCTGAGTTTTTGTGTTTCAAAAGGGTTATAAGAGTTCGAACCTACAATTATGAAATAAAATGAATACTGATCTCAAAAAATACTACTGAGAAATGAATAATAAGCTTTCATGAAATTGAATGGACTTCCTCCTATCTAGGTGAATACAATATTTGTATAATGTAAAAAGAATGCATAGTTTGAAAACACATTCTGCAGTGTTAATGGGAAAATAGATTATATTCAGTAGAAGTGTTTTGAATATTTTGGGTTATTGGTCCTAATGATGAATAAAACTGATATTTGAATTTTCTAGTTTTTAAGAAAATAATTAAATCCTTAAAGATTTCAAGCTATAAACAGTGATTCACCATGTAGTCTTAATCTATTTCCTCATCCTTTGCCTTTTTGTTTGAAAAACTATTCCAACCTCTCTCCAAATATACTTCACAGAGATGTTGTGAGAAATCATATGACTTTCTGGAAATTGCTTTCAATTACTGTAAAGTTGCAGAGAAAGATTATGTGTAAAGCAAAATTACATAAGCATTTTTGTGAGGGAATAAACAAGGAAGAGTATTTCAGTTCAAGAATTAAAGCTTTGACTCAAGTTATGAATAAAAGGTATCATAGTTACTGGAAATTTTTTTTTAAAACCTTAAAGATTTTATAAAGAGACCACTTCACTTGACTAATTTTTTTTTTTTTCTGGTATGCGGGCCTCTCACTGTTGTGGCCTCTCCTGTTGCGGAGCACAGGCTCCAAACGCGCAGGCTCAGTGACCATGGCTCACGGGCCTAGCCTCTTCGTGCACGTGTGGCACGTGGAATCTTCCCGGACCGGGGCACGAACCCGTGTCCCCTGCATCGGCAGGCGGACTCTCAACCACTGCGCCACCAGGGAAGCCCCACTTGACTAATTTTTGCATTTCTTCCAAAGTCAGGATATCTTTAAAAGTCAGATTTCTCCTGAATCCAGCAACATATAAAAAGGATTATACACTCTGATCAAGTACCATTCAATCCAGGAATGCAAAGATGGTTTAATATTCTAAAATCAATTAATGTAATATACCATATTAATAGAATAAAGGATAAAACCCCACAATCATCTCAATAAATGCAGAAAAAGCATTTAACAAAACCTAGTTCATAATAAAAATTCTCAACAAACTTGAAAGAGAATTTCCTCAATGTGATAAACAGCATCTATGAAAAGCAAACGCTAATATCATACTTTAATGGTAAAAAAAAAAATGCAAGAATTTCAGCTCTTGCAACTTCTGTTCAGCATCATGCTGGAGGTTCTAGCCAGTATAATCACAAGAAAAAGAAATAAAAGTCATCCAGATTAGAAAGGAAAAAGTAAAACTGTCTTTATTTGTGGACAACATGATTCTAAATGTAGAAGATCCTAAGGAATATACACACGTGTGTGCACACAAACCCCTATTAAAATTAATAAGTTCAGCGAGGTCACAGAAGATTAATATACAAAAATAAATTGTATTTTTATATACAAGAATGAACAATCTGAAAATAAAAATAAGAAAACAATTCCATTCACAATAGTATTTAAAAGAATAAAATGCTTATGAATAAATTTAACAAAAGAAGTGCAAGTCTTGAACACTGAAAATTTCAAAACATTGCTGAGGAAAATTAAATATAATCTAAATAAATGGAGAGACATTTCACATTCACAGTTTGGAAGACCCAGTATTGTTAAGATGGCAGTTCTTCCCAAATTGATCTATAGATTCAACTCAATCTCCATCAAAATTCCAGCAGGATATTTTGCAGAAGTTGACAAACTGTACCTGAACAGCATATGGAAATCCAAAAGACACAGAATAGCCAAATTTTTTTGAAAAAGAACAAAGTTGGATAACTTTCATTTCCTAATCTTAAAACTTAATATAAGGTACAGTAATCAGAACAGTTTGGTAATGACACAAGGATAAACATATAGATCAAAGGAACAGATTTGAAAGTCCAGAAATAAACCCTTATATTTATGACCAATTAACTTTTGACAAAGGCAATTTGATAGGAGAGTTTTCAACAACTGGTGCTGGTACAACTGAATATCCACATGCAAAACAAAAACAGATGAACTAGATCCTTACTTCACACTATATACAGAATTAATTCAAACTCAATCAGAGACATTAATGTAAGAGCTGAAGTTATACAACTTTTAGAATACAACAGGAGAAAATGTCAAGACCTTCAGTTAGGCAAAGATTTTTATAGACACAACCCAAGAAGCATGATCCATAAAAGAAAAAATTTAATATATTGGACTTAATCAAAACTCAAATTTTGGGAGTTAAACTGGATGAACAGTACAGGGACCTCTTGATAATATCTTTGTAACTTTCTGAGAATATTATTTCCAATTTTAAAATTTTAAAAATACTTTTTTACTCAAAAGATGTCATTAAGAAAGTAAAAAGGCAAGCCACAGAGAAAATATTTGTAAATCACATGTATGGCAAAAAACTTGTATCTAGAACATACAAATGACTCTTCAACTCAATAAGAAGACAATCCGATTTTTAAATGGGCACAAGATTTGAATAGACATTTCTCCAAAGAAGATGTACAAATGGCTAATAAGCACATAAAATGATGCTTAACATCATTAGTTATTAAGGAAATGCAGATTAAGACCACAATAAGATACCACTTCACATCCACCAGGATGGCTATGATCAAAAAGAAGGACAGGGAGGGGGCAAATTAGGGGTATGAGATTAAAAGATACAAAGTACTATATATAAAATAGATAAGAAACAAGGATATATTATATAGCACAAGGAAGTATAGTCATTATCTTGTAATAACTTTTAATAGAGTATAATCTTTAAAAATACTGAATTACTATGCTGTACACCTGAAACTAATATAATATTTAAATCAGGTATACTTCAATTAAAAAAAACATAACAAGCGTTGACAAAAATGTGAAGCAACAGGAATTCTCAAATTTTGCTGGAAGGAATGTGAAGTAGTACAGTCACTTTGGAAAATAATTTTGCAGTTTCATACAAGGTTAAATATAATTTTTTCATATATCCCAGCAATTCCATTCCTACATGTCTACTAAAGAGAAATAAAACATATGTTCACACAAAGATTCATACATTAAAGTTCATAGCAACATTATTCATAATAGTCAAAAAGTGGAAAGAGCCCAAATTCCATCAACTGGTGAAGAGATAAACAAAATTTGGTATAGCCATAATGGAATATCAATACTAATAAAAAAGTAAAATACAGATAAATACTACAATATAAATGAACTTTAAAAACATTATGCTAAATGAAAGAAGCCAAACACAAAAGATTATATGATATTCTATTTATATGAAATGTCCAGAAAAGACAAATCTATAATGACAGAAAAATAGATTTATGTTTGCCTAGAGTTGTGGGTGGGAATGGGGATTAACTGTAAACAAACATGAAAAATCATATTAGGGAGAAGAAAATGTTCTACAACTGGATGTGGTAGTGGTTTCACAACTTGGTAAACTTTCTAAAAATCCTTGAATTGTATACTTAAAGTTGGTGAATTTATGGTATGTAAATTATACCTCAATAAAGTTACTTTAAAAAAGTCAATTTGATTGAATTTTTACATTAACTTTTATTGTTTTTTCCTCATTATAAAGTTGACATGTTTGTTACAGAAATTTTAGAAAATACAGTATAACAGAAAGAAGAAAATTCAAAGCACCCATCCTTCCATCTTCAGGCAACCATTTTTCACATTTTGACATAGGTCCTTAGTTTTCCTTTCTATAAAAATGTGAGCTGAAAAACTAAAGAACTCCCTACCCCTTGACCTAGACAGAATCTGGTATACCTTTACAATAATCTTTCAAAGCTGCAATTGAAATCTTGGAATACAAAAGGGTAGCCTGAGCTGAGTCTTGACATAAGGAATGGTTCTACCTAAGGAAAGAGGGGGTTCTGAGAGGGAGAGTACAATGAAGGTTCTAACTTGAGTTCTCTGCCCCCCCCACACCAAAAACAGAGTCTACTATAGGGACTTGTGTGCAAGTAATTTACTTGAGAGATGATCCCAGGGAGCAAGAATGAGAAAGCTAGAACGGTGAGAATGGAAGGTGGAAAAGCTAGTATCAGGTGTGCTATCAAGGTTCTCACTGTGGGCTTAATTTGTCCAGAACCACCTGAGAAGCATACAAAAGGCCTCCCAAAATTATCTCCCTGGAGGAAGGGAGGCAGGGACATTTACCACCAGCTCCAGACACCCATTAATTGAAGGCTGCCCCTGGAGATGTTAACCCCACATTTCTGAGCACTGTTTGGCCAGGCAGATTTCCCTGCGGCAGAAAGTGAAAAGATACGCAGCACACTCAAGACAATATTGTTAGTATGAGCTAGCATGGAACTGTCCACTGCAGTTACTATGGAAATCAGTAGTGGGCTAAAGCAATGTGACATAGGGCACCAGACTGGATCAAGCACCACAGCAAGAAGGTTGAGCTCAAGTAGAAAGAAATCACCAAAGGTCTTTTTAAGAACAGAGAAGCAGAATTCCCTTGATCATTGAATCTAAGATGTCATTGATTATAAAATGCACCATTATTTCATGTACCACTAAGAAAGAAAAGACACTGCCAACTAAACTATGACATGCCTTCAATTGTCAGGTGTATTCTTATTTCAGATATATTAAAATGTGAAAAGTTGCATGTCTTAGAATTGATGAAATACAGATACAATTTAAAACTATTTGCGTCACTCTAATGTAAATGCCCCATCTCCATAAACATTTAATAAAGTCTGCTAAACATAAAACACTAAGTGCAACTCATTTTTTGTGGAAATTAGGTAGAATAGCTGAATTTCACATTGAGTCAGTATGAACAGGGAAAGAGTGATATGCTTTGGATATCAAGATAATCACTGTTGGAGAAAGCAGGTGCTGAGAACCAAAGGCGGCCCTGAGTCTCAGGAATCTGAAGAAACTTTGAGAACAACATTGGACTTTCTTCAATTCATAGAATGGGAGCTTGGGCCAACCTTAACAAGACCTTAATAGACACGGAGAGAACTTTTAAAAATATATAAATATAGGATCATATTAAACAGACTATTTTGTGTTCTTTTCCTCTTAATTACATAGTTTGATCACTTTTTAAATTGGCTGAAATTGGAAATCAGTCTTTGCCACAGGCCTGGGTCTGGGAGAGGAAAAAAGGAAATTATTAGCAAGGAATGCATTGTTTTAGGCAAGTTTGCCTCCTAAGGAGAATGGAAGGGGCCTGTTGGGTGGAATATCTCATTAGCGCTGACAGGTAATTCCAGGTTGACTGGTGAAGGGCTACATTGCTGGAGG